CCCCAGCGCGGGGACCGGGCGGGACCGGACGGGCGGGGAGCGGCGGTGCGGGCTCGTGTCGGGGGAAACGGGGCACAGCGGGCGACACGTAACATATATAACACATAGAGCACGTCTAACACATGGAACAGAACATGGGTAACATACTGCAGCTATTAAAGAAACATGTAACACACATGACACATATAACGCATAACATAGCACACATAAACACATATAACACACAGCACACATGACACACATAGTACATATAACAAAATAACTGCCCTGGGGAACACGTTCCGTGTGTTGTGTTTGATCCCCCTGCAGTGGGAGGTGAAGCAGCCTCGTGGTGCCCCAGCACCGAGAGCAGCACGGCGAGACACCCAGATCCTCATAAAAGTGGCTGATAAATATTTTGGGTTTAAATGAGTGATGTGTGTGGAGAAGAGGCGATCGTGGGGCATAAGGGTGCTTCAGTGGGAGCCCTCGGGTCCCCCAGGGCTTGGCTGCATGGGCAGGAACGCAGGATGCTCCCTCTGGGAAGCCCTGTGCCCACACGGTGAGTATTGTTTGATTTAAGTGTATCAAGTGGTTGGCAGGACTTCTGAAAGCAACTAACTCTACGGAATTAAATTCAGATATAAGCTGTGATTTCCCCCCCCTCATTTTTTTTCTCTTTCCTCTCTCCTTCCTTATCCTCCTTCCATGGTTCATCCTAAGGATAGAAGAATTTGAGGGGGAAAACAGTTCTGAGGTTTGTTAGGTTTGGGGTTTTGTATGGAAAAAAAAAGATGATCAGTACTCTGTAAAACCTGTCAGCTTAATGTAATCTTCAGAAGTGTTCATGTTGACCATAGTTATTTATCCACACAGTGTTTATTAGGTCTGTTGCACAAATTGGAGTATAATAAGAAAATGTTTACACCTGACAGAGGTATTGCACCTTCTGAGCACCCAGTCCACCCACAATTATCTGAATAGTGATGCTTTCATAGTAGTTTTCCTCTTAGTTCTAACCCAAGGCAAAGCAATGAAAGTGATTTTCCCAGTGGGAGAAAAGAAACTGTTTGGATGTTTGGATTTGTTTCTGTTTGTGTCTCTCTTTCTGACTGCAGAAACTGCTGCACAGGCCTGGATGAAGATGCCTGGATATTGGGAATGGGGAACCAGGAGGGGACAGGCACAGTTAAGACATTTTTTCTGATGCTAAAAATTCCAGTGAGAGTGTGACCTCCAGACTGTGTCAGCTCTGTGCTAAGTGAACCCTCACTGGGTGAGTTCCTCAGCGGGGCCCACAGAGTGCAATTCACACATTACATCCTCTGTTCGTGCTGTGGCTGCTTCTCAGCTTCCCTTTCCCTCCACCACCTTGTGCTTGTTTGAAAGTTTGCTTTGAACTCACTGATTACTCTTGTTTTCTGCTCCTGAGCGCTTTATCTCACCTTCCATCCCAGAGCAGTGATGGTACAAGATGGGATATCCTGGAAATCAAATGCAGGGCTTGGTGCTGGCAGGTCCTTGCTGAGTCAGGAATTGCTCACTCCATGTTGGATAAGGGCTGCCTCTTCCTTCACAGGAAAATTTTCAGGTACTTGACAAGCACCAAGTAGTAAATAACACCTTCAGCCCATCCTGCTTGGTTAAAGAGGCTGCATTTATGTCCATGAGCAGCAATAGAAAGTTTAAGGAATTAGTTTATTTTTGCATGGAGGCGGCTGTGTGTAAAAACAAGACAGGAGACTCCTCCTCGAGGAGAGGGGTACCTGAAATTGCAGAGAATCTCTTCTAAAAGCTGTTTGTGTTAAAAGCTCATGCAGTGGTTCTGTGTTGTCTGCTCATTTACATAGAGGCTTCCTTCCTTCTTCAGGGCTGTTTCCTGCTGCTGGTTGCTCGTATTTTGGGTTCTGCTGTTCAATTTAATGGAAAGCGTAGGGTTTTAGGGGAAAGGAACAACAAAAAAGACCATCTCTAATTTCAAATCTAACTTGATAATTTCCTGAAAGAAGCAGTGGCTGATCAAAGTGTCCTCCCTGAACAGGTGTTGGACTCTACCCTCTCCTCCCTGCAGTGCTGGAGCTCGGGTCACTGCAGCCTCTGGAGTCACTGAGGAGGAGCAGTGGGGACCAGCAGAGTCCCTGCACGTCACTGCAGATCAGCCAGGGCCAGGTAATGAACATGACTCCTTCAGAAGGAGCGTGGGCTGTGCTTCCTGAGCAGTTAGTGCTGAGTCTTGCCTTTCCCCCTGCTCTTCCTGTTCGAGATGTGCTGTGCTTTCGAAGTTCATTGCTGCCTGTCCCTTTATTGTGTTGAGCAGGGGAGTAAATTCAAACCTCACCCCTGTGTGTTTCAAGCAACTTCTGTTGGTGTTTTGGACATCTCGAGCCACGTGGGCAAAGACAGGGAGATAAACACATCTTTATGCATTTTGGTGGGGAAAGTTGCACACTGGAACTCCTGCACAAATGATTATGAACATTCCCATTCCCAGCGAGGGGCTGGGGGTGACTCTGGAGGAGGATGGTCCCCACAGCCAGGGGCAGTGGGCCACTGGAATGTCCCTGTGGAATGTTCTCTGGAACATTCCATGGGGATTCCACATTTGTCTGTGGGGTGAGTGCCAGTCTGACAGCCTTTGCCCTGGCTGTACCTTTAACTGGGTGCAGCCCAGCTGGGCCTGCTTAATGCCCTGTTATTTGTGCCTTGTCAGCACTGGATTAACAAGCCGAGCTCTGCCATGGCCGGTGGCTGTGGGGCTGCGGGTCCTGAAAGGCTGCATGACTCAGAGAGACACAGCTTATGAAGATTTTATATTTTTTTAACAGAATATGTAACCAGTAAACTATTCAACAAACTTTATTTTAAACTAACTTTACTTTTAAAGAATGTTTACTAATGTCCCATTTGCAAGATGTTTTATTTTTCAAGAACCTTTTAAAAGCACAGATGGTTTGTGGTGGATCTTCATTTTGATCACTGGAGGTGCTCATCTTAAAAGTAACAAGTTTGTTCTTAGGAAGATCTTGTTGAGGAACAAGAAAAACGTTTCCATAATAATTTTAATTTGAAGGCTTTTAAAAATAGAGTTATAATTCTGCTTATTCAGAGAAAAGCCAGAAAATGCGGTACAGAGCTGGTGTCAGCCTTGCTGGATTTTCAGGAGTGGTGTTTCCTTGGTTTTTGTTCCTGCTGTGTGCTGTCACTGCACAAGGTGTAACCTTTCCTGCTGCTCATGATGTCACTGCAGTGTTGGTGGGTTTTTGTCTTTGACACAAATAGTTTTTCAAGGAACTGGAAAAAAGATGGTGCAAGCAAGGCCCTAAAAACTGCATTACTCGAACCAGTAATTTAAAATACCCAGTTCATGGTTTACTGGTCACTGTAACACAAAACTGAAATTAAGACTGAAGCCAACATGGAGTGCAGGGTGTGATTAGACTCTCTTTGTGTTGGAAACACCAGAGCTAAAAATCTTTTGTAACCTTTTAGGATATTGCTTCCTCTTGGTTGACTTCAGTTTTAAGCAAGTTCCATTGTGACACTTTCATTTTAAGGGAAGCTAAAAAGGAAGGAAATGTAATTTCAATCTCACCCCCAATGTGAAGAATTCAAAACTCCATCTTCTGCCTCCCTACAAACAGCCTAATTACTGGTTGAACACTCACATATCAGAAAGAGAAAAAGAAGAATTTACTGTGAAGGCCAGTGAGAGTCACCCTGGGCTCTGCTCTGTGTTTTTATCGATTAGCAAAGGTAAAGTGCCAGAGTGTCTCTCTTCTAAGCACCTCCAGCCCTCACTGGATCCAGACTCCAGGGGACTTCCAGGGATCACAAGCTGAGCCTTTTCTGTTTGCCTTCTGTTGTACACGATGAGGATTAATGATTGTTACCACCTGCAGAAAATCTTTGATCTTTATCTAAGGCAGGATCAGTGTTTGCCTGGTACTGTTCCCTCTTCACTTCAGCTTGCACTGAAACCATTTGCACAGTGCTGTTGCTAACTCTAATTCCTCTCTCAGAAGTCTTTTATCACAAAACAATTTTTTTCTGTGATCATTATTTTCACATACAAAAAAAAAATAAAAAAAATACACATGGCAAAGCAAATGCCTCTGTGTCAGCCAGGCAGTAATGGACTCTTTGTGGACACTATCAGGAAATGTCCCTTTTGTTCTCCTGCACCTGTTGCTGAATTACAAATAAAATAATCCAATGCTTTATTAAATAAAATGAGTAGCCTAATGAAATTGTACCAGCCATTACCAGGAAGTCTATTGAAAACATTCAGCAGCTGCTTCAGTTTCAGTTCCCTTACACTGACAGGATTGTTTCACCCTTATCCTTGTGCTCCAAGTGAGGAGGGCACAGTGCCTTGGACCACCTCACACCACTCTGCTCTTGCTCCCTGGGGAGGATTTGGTCAGAATAAGTAATAAATAATGCTCAACAATAAAGTACCTTGGACTTGCAGAAGTTTGTTAGGAACCAGTGTCCCAGGCCTTGCATCTGAGTGTTTTGCAAGCATCAGCTTATCCTGACAGTAATAAAACAGCTACAAATCTCCTGTTTGATTCTGATTCTGTATAGAGGGGTTGATTATAAAGGTTGAGAATCAAATCAGTGAGTCCTTCTCATTAGAGAAAATACCTCAGCAGCCTGAGGAATGCCCTGGAGTGAGCTGGGGGTCAGCCTGGCTCAGCAGAGTTAAATGTCACCAACTCCTTTGCTAAAGGTCTCCAAGAGAATTGTTCTGTCTCTGCTGTATTTAAAAGTCAACACATCTATCACAGCAGTGCTGGAGAGTAGGTGGAGACTCTTTCCCTAATTCCTAACAAGAGCTGCCTTATTCTAAAGAAAAGGTGAGTCCAGCACTATTGTCTGTGCTAAGCCTTGCATGAAAACCGCTGAGAAGTTGCATCTCAACGGCTTTGGATCTTGGGAAATGTTTGATACAGACCTTCTTGTACAGAAAGTGTAACAAAGAATGGTGTTCAAACATGCATGATTCAAGGTTTGGTTTTAAAAATGTATGAGAAGTAGCTGGATGAAATGTCAGTCTGGTTTTGTGGTGGCTCAAATTCGTGGATCTACTCTGAATTTATCCCAGTACAACTCCTTGAAGAGTTTAGACTCAAATAAGTAGAGCAAACACAAGCTTTCTAGAGCTCAAGGAAATAATACATATAGAACTTTCCTACTGGAAAATCTGATCTAAGTCAGGATAAGGCAAATTTTGGGGATGAGAGGGAGGGGAAGGATTGGTCCCTGTTACAAAAAGCTGGGCTGGGTCATCTACAGTCAGGCCCATTGGGACCAAGAGCTCATTAATCCTCTGGGACACCCAGCAAAGGTAAAGCTGGTCTTTGTCCTTACCAGGGCCTCTCCAGGGACAGAAACGAGAGATAGGCAACTTCTGAGGCACCTTCTTACATTTTCCACACTGGTATTTTTTCTAGGTGTTTTTTAGGTGTATTTTATTTTGCAAATTGCTTGTGATTGGAGTGGGATATAGAAATTTTGGCATGGGGTGCCCAGTTCAGCAGCTGCTCGAGGGAAGCACAGGGCAGGGCACAGGAGAGGAAATGGGACTGTTCTGTAAACTGAGCCCACTTGAACTGATTCTGCCAACAGGTCCAGGAGGGATTCTGGCAGGACTTCCAACCACTGCCAGTCAATCACCTGCAGCTGGAAGAGGATGTTTCTCTGTTGCCCAGGGCTTTTGATGCCAGCTGTGAGTCTGGAACATTGCTTTGCTGTCCCTGTGACCCTGATAGGAAATAATTACATCCTCAGAGTTGCTGCAGAGGACCTGGCAAGGCTCTGAAGGCTCAGTGCCACAGTGAGAACTGCTGGGAGGGAGGAACATAAAAGCTAAGCCTGGCAGGTGTTTCCTGTTTCTACAGTTCATGTTTACATTGTCTATATTTTGTGTTTACATGGGGCAGATGCTTCTGCCACCCCTCCTGAGTCCTGGGAAAGTGTAATGAGAGTGAACTGAACAGCTGAGATTTTCTTCAGTTTTCTTTATCTGCCCTTCTTCCTGCAGTATGATCCTTCACATGATGCTCAGTGAAATTCAGGCAGTTATTTCAAACAGAAAAAGGCCTAAATGAACTCGGTCTATCTATCTATCTATCTATCTATCTATCTATCTATCTATCTATCTATCTATCTCAGACAAATCTGCTGCATGATCCCCAGTAGGGGAACACAAATGCTTTCCCTGATCTGCTGCTATGAACAAACTTCACTGTTTGAAAATTGGTTATCATCCCCCCACTACTGTAACTTTCCTACAGATGGAGAAATAAACAAATTCATCAAATAATAATTTTTACTTGTTTCTTAATTGCTAGAGAAAGATCTGCCTGCTTAAGAACCCAACAGGTGAGCTGAGGTTACTGTATCTGTTCCACAGGAAACCACACTTGGGTGTAACATCTCTGAAAAATACTAATCTACATTAACACTCATTTGTGTTTTATCAGTAACTATTAATTTAAAAGAAAATACAGGAGTAATCACATCTTCTTGCAAAGAAAAAAAACCAGAAAATTATACTGGGAGGAATATCAGTAAGACCACTATAAAATTTTATTGCAGGAAGGACACTTCAGTAGTGGTGTGAATAATTTTTCACTAAATATATATATATATATATATTTATTTGTTCTCATGAGGTCACCCTAGACTCTCAAAGTTAAAAATCAAAATCATTAAGAAGAACTTTGAAGTGTCTGATACAAAAATCTAAACGTGACCAAGCCCTTTAGTGATTTCCTCTTTGGACTGGAAGTGTTTGTCATGGTACCTTATATCCTCATAATTTTACTACTACCGGCATGTTGTAAACACTTCTTTCATTATTCCAAAATGCTTCAGAAGTGTTTGGGGGATATTTCTAGGAAAACAAGCTTACAGTAATGAGTCATGAAGTTCTTCCCTGAACCACTGAGCAGATCTTTCTTACCCCACCCAGAGATGAGAGCTGTTCACAGCGGATAAGTGAGGAGTTAAGGCCAGTTCAATTTCTAGGCTGCAGGAGCCTGGAACTCTGTCAAGGTGACAGCACAAGTGTCTGATGGTTAATTCTGAGACCCAGACACCTCTCCCCAGGTGGGCAGTGCTGGCAGCGGCACACACCCCCTGAACAGGGGGCAGATGGCAACATTAGAGTTTTTATTTGACCATTTCCACTTGATTTGCTCAGCATGGCCCTGAAGATATTTCACTTGGAGGAGGAAATGTACTTGAAATAACTGAAAACCACTGCATTAACTTCCTAAAACCCTGTCCAGGGCTTGGCTGCCCCGTGATGCCTCAGTGCAGGCTCTGCTCTCTCCATCACATTGTGCACAATCCACTCAGGTAAAACAGGACTTAATTAGCTCTTTTAATCAGTGATAACACAGACGTGGCCAGGAGTCAATCTGTTTAGTTAATGGGTCCTTTAATTTCTTTGCTATATTAATAAAAAAGTGATCCAATTTATCTGTTTCTTTATGGAGTAACTACTCAGGATTTAAGAAGCAAATACACCATATCCATGAATTCTTTATCAATGCACCCATGATGATGTATATATTTGCACAATCTGAAAAACTGGTATCTTCATCCAAAATGCCGATGCTGGAAGGATGGGAAGCAATTTAGGATAGGAAAAAAAATTCTCTTACCCTCATCTTCTCCGAGTGGGCTGGGAAGACAATCAAATCTGTAAAGTCCTTGAGAGGAAAGAGGCTGAGTTGTAACTTCTTCCATGCTCAATCAGCCAAGACCTCGAGTCCATCCTCCACAGAGGCAGCGGGAAGGGACGTGCAGGAGACACGGCACCGGCTCCTCCGAGGGGTTTCCAAACAAGTTATTAATACTCACTTCACAAAAGCTCTGAGGCACCCAGCTTTGGGAGCAGACCAACACTCTCCTGCCTCTTCAGCTTAAAACTACTCCTGTTCCAGAGTACAGAGAGGTTTAACATTAAGGCATCCATACAGCTCTGGTGTTTGCTTTCATTTAATAAAGATCAATTTACTCAAATACATGGAATGTTGGCACAAAACTAAAGCTTCTGTGGAACAGCTACCAATCATACACAAATACTCTGTGAGGTCCTCTCCACTTGCATTTCTCTGATAGATACACCACAACATGGCTTCAATAATACAAACTGAATGCTGGATCAAATCTCTAAATAATAAGTAGCAGTTAAAGTAAATGGTTTGCTTTATTTGTAAATTATGTACAGAATACATTTTTTTTTTTTTAATTATGATGGAGCAGGAGAAAGAAAACAGCCATCATTTCCAAACCATGCTGCTTCCTTCACCTGCTGGAGATGACATCTCTCTCTGCACTGGATGCACAAAACCAGTTTGGATTTCCTCAGTTGCTGGCACACAGGCTGGAGAAACAGAGAACACTGCAGGCAAATTCAGCACTACCAGCTCCTCTACTGTCAGCAAAATACTTCTGCTAAAACTAGTCTTCTCAGGAAAGTTCTCACAATCTTTTGAAAACAAAATCAAGAAAAATATCAAGAAGGCTGTGGGCTAAGAAGGGCTTTACCTAACTATCAGATAACTAGGAATAATCTGAGATTTGGTCATTCAACTTTTACCTGGTTTACAAAAGCAAGTTTGAGAAGCTAAACTAATTGACCAGTTATGCAAGTACCAGAAAATGACGTTTTTCAGTATGTTTGAGGACAATCTGGGCAACCTATCAATCAATAAAAAACTTGTCAAATTGATAAAACTTCCATAAATGGATATTAATGATTAACATAGTACCGAGTAATCAAGTTAATGGTTAAAAAAAAAAATGAAGGAACTAGATATAAAACTGTTTGGTAACATGGATATTTCAGCAAACAAAGATGCTACTGTACGGTCTATGTTTTGGTGATCAGCCAACAAAGAAAATCCAACCATTTGCACATACTTAGTCCCAAACCACAGTGAGTTATGATTTTCCATGTGAAGGCCCACTTTCGGTGTCTTCCTCCTCTTCCTCCTCACAATCCCCTTCATCTGTTTGCTGTTCCAGTTCCTCTTTTGTGATCATTTCAAAGTCGTTTCCATTGCCACTACTGTGCTGGGACCTGTCATCTTCGCGCCTGTCACTGTCAGTGTCTGAATGTCGCTCTCCTCCTGAGCCGTCTGTTCCCGAGTTCCTTGTGGCTTCTGTTTTTCCATCCTCCTCTTCCTTCTTCTCACTATCTGATTTCTCCTCGCTGTCGTATTTTTGCTGCTTTTTGGATTCTGCTTTTTCCTCTTTCTTTAAGTCTGCTTTTGGTCCTTTGTATTCGTGTGTGTAGAGGGGCCTGAAGGAGTCAATGAAGCCCACATCTGCTGTAAGGTTTGGCAGGAACCAGAAGTGATGCCTTCCTCCAGTGATGAGCCAGATGATAAGGAAAAGGATGCAGCGAGCTGTGTGAAAACAAGGGAAAGTTTGGATTTTGTTATAGACACGCACAGTGTACAACCATGGTGTGTAAGAGATGTTCACTGCTAATGCCCACCCCCAGCCAGGGACTGGGGGATGTTAGGGGGAAACTCCTCATTCCACAATAGCTCTGTGGAGTAGTTTGTTCTTGCCATGTCTCCTCCATGGAGGAGACTCATCATGGATCTTTGATTTAGCTCTTAACCCCTCTGTCACAGAAAGCTTTAAAATCCTGGTGACACCATTCTCGCCTGTTAATACGTTTCTGTGTGCAGCTCTGGGTTTGTTCTGCACATTTTTTGTTTAAACAAAGGCAGTAAACGAATCTGAACCACACATGAAACACCAACAGGTGACAGGAGCCTGAGCTCCGTCCCTTCCTTGGCACAACGCTGACACCCGCTGGCCGGAGGGAAGCGCACACGGGACCCGCCCGGCTGCGGCTGAACAACGTCCCGGGAAGCGGCACCGCCCAGCTCCGAGCTCGGGGAACAGCTGGGCTGTGACTCAGGCCTCTCACACCCCGCCGGCCGACACTCACCGACGGCAAGGAGCAGAATACTGGCGACAAAGCAGCCGGCGCCCACGCTGAGGTAATAAACACCGACACGCATCTCGGCTGGCCAGAGCGGGAACAGGGTCGCGGCTATAACGGCAATCACTGAGCAGGGAGGGCAGGACAGAGGCACGAGAAGCATCATTAGTTCCTGGTACATGTACAGAGGTTCCAGGCTTATTGCTTATTCAATGCAGTACCTTAGATTCATTTATTATTGAATAAATTATTATTCCGTTTATTTTAGATTAAAAAAAGAATAGCTGATTTGTCTTATTTTATGTAAGTTCTAGGGTCAGAAATGTATCACTCATAAAATATTTAATATTTTTACAGAACCCACATTTCCCTCTGCAAAACTCACTGGTTAGCTTAAGGCAACAGAAATAAATAACTTGTGTCTACTCTGACTTACCAAGTACAAGTCCCATGGCAAAAGTTTTAAAGTGAACGGGGTCATAGATCCACACATAGACCTACAACAGAAATGACGTGGCTTACATTCAGAACAAGCTCTCTGATAAACATCTCCTGTATTCCCTCACCCAAACACTCACTGCCAGGCTGCAATGCTTGGTGCTGAACAAAAGGACTTCTGGTCAGCACCTGGGCAGGGCAAGGGGTTGTGACTCCTAGGAAGGGTAACTGACAGGTGATGTAAACCTGAAGAAAACAATCAGACAGCAGAACTGATGGGAAAAAGGAAAGATTCTGAAGCATCACTGAATCAAGCTATGGTTGTATCTTTCTTTATTCATTAATGTTGTTCAGCATGCAGAAAAAAATAAAAAGTCCACTAGGTGGAAACAAAAAGTCCTGTGAGCTTTGAAAACACCCAGACTGAACACCTGGAAGAAAGGATGCAGTGGAACACTCACTGCAGGCCCTGTGCTGGGCTCAGTCAGCGCCACAGCACTGTTATCTCTACAGTTGCAACTCTCAGAGCCAAATGTTTGTGTGAGGACTGTGGAGCCATTTGAATCTGAGCTGCTCAGCCATAAATTAAAAACTTCTCAGTAAAGTGCAGGATGTTCTGAACTAGAAAAATCTGCTTTTTTTTTTTCCTTCAGCAAACTAAACAATTTGAATCTGAGCTTCAAACTGTGAAATGAAGCTGCTGGTTACTATAAACCAGCAGCCCTCACTGCAGATGTGCCAACACCAACTACCAGAAGGGTACTTGGGAGGCAGTAGTGGTTCCATATGATGCAATAAATATTTAACGTTCTGCTTTCTCAAAGGGTGCCAAAGTTAGTTGTGTTCAGGTGCAGCTGCTGCCAGTCAGCTCGTTCTGTGAGGCCAAGTGAGCTGAAGGTGGTGACTGGGCAATAAGTGTGTGATATCCAGTGTTTGTAAGTGCAAAATAATGGGCACTTCATGTAAAGATGAAAGGGAGGATCATAGCTGGGTGTGATTCCACGTGAGATGGGATGAAACAGAGCAAGGCAAGTGTACAGAACTGAGAAAGGTAAAATCAAGATACAAAAGAGAAACACATTTTCTGCACAAGGGATTTATTTACAAGATTTGCTGCCGTGTATGTTTTATAACCAAAGGAACACAAGAATCCTAGGGGAGATTCTAGTACAGCCTCACACAGCATCAACACAGCACAGTAAAACTATCCCAAATTTGAGAATGTGACTCTGTACATTACAGAGCTGGTAAATAATTAATTCTTTGTTTTTCAGAACAGCAAAGCACACAGAAATATTTAAGGCCACAATTTCAGTGGTAAAGCTGGGATGAGCATTCAGTAATGCCAAAGGGTCACCTGTCTGCTCAGATCATAAAGCCAGGCAGATATATTTTATTTCCTCTCCTGTGATTGAACATGATGTCCTGTTCAATCAAACCAGAAGGCCGGTTTGGCTTAGAACAATTTTGGAATGGCAGTGGCTGTGGGATAAGTTGGGCAGGAGAGACCTCAGAAGTCTCTGTCCCACCCTCCTGTCCCAGGCAGGATCATCTCCACCAGCCCCTGAATACACTCTGAGGATAAACATTTCACCTCATGGCCACCGACACCTCAGCTACTAATAAGGAAGTTTTCTTTGGGATTTTTTTTAAGTTACTGTCCTCTATTTACCTGTCTTTAACCTCCTTGAAGTATCTGAAAATCTGGTTTCAAGATGAGCTATCACATTGCCATTAATTTTTCTTTCAACATGTCAAGAAGGAGTTTGCAGAAATCCAGTAAATTAAGCTATTGTCTGACAATAGCATGGTGACACCCAAAGTTGAAAAGCACCTATAAATCTTACCTCATTTCCATCCAAGAAAACTTGGTCTTCATGTGGCTCAAGTTTAAATTTCCTCTTGGTTTCCTTTTTCTTGGGTGTTCCTGGGGTGTCATCCTGAGAACAAACATAAATATTTTATCTATACATAATATCTTGTTTGATTTAAAACAAAATAATTCATTCAAAAGGTAGCAAAAACCCCCCACATTTTAGAGAAGAAAACAGGAAAAAAAAAGCAAGGTATATTTTAGAATAACCAACTTTTGAGCCAGTGCAATCTTAACAATCTGTTGATGTATTTGTTACAGGTTTGTTTCTTCTCTTACACACAGTACTTACCTTCTTACACTCATCTTTTTCACCATCCTTTTTCTTTTCCTTTTCTTTCTCCTTCTTAGTTTTTTCATCTTTGCCACTTTCCTTCTTACTCTTTTTTTCCTCCTCTTTCCCACTCTCAGCCTTTCCTTTTTCTTTTTCTTTCTTTGTATCCTTGTCAGGTTTCATTTTCATCACTTTCAATGCTCGATGAAAGAACTGTTTTTTCAGGAGTCTTAAAATGAAAAAAGTTAAATGATTCATTTAAGTGCAGCTGTGGAAACAACATTTACACTCAATTATGTTATTATACACCATTCTAGATTATCTCTCTGACATAATCATGACCAGCATGACTGAAAGGCAAAGTCACCATCATCTGCTCTATTTACAGCTACACACACCAGACCTACTTATCCCATGTCTTGTCTGTTGCTTTGCTTTTTTTGGTTCATCTGTTCAAAACTGGGTAAAAACTGTACTTTTCTGTGGCAGCATTTTGCAGAAATAATTGAACACAAGATGTAGAATACAGCAAGCCACCAGATCCATTTAATTATCCATTTAATTATCTTTTCCATTAATGCAACTCCTGCAATGTTTATTTTCAAGTTCATGTCAACGTACTTCATGGCAAAAATAAGGAAGTGAACATACAGCTCATCAAGATCATTGGTAAGTGATGCACGATGAACAGAATTGCTCTGTTGAAACTGTGGTACCTATGCCAAGTATTCCCTTCCTGGCAGCTACAGAAAGACCTTACTGCAAGTACATATATTATCTATTTATGTATGGAGATACAAAGATATAAATATATGGCCAGCAGGGCACCAGGATGTAGTATTTGGTATTCTTAAGGTCATCACCAAATTAGAAACATCCTTGAAAGGAGCACAGATGAATTCCCAACAGGAAGAGCAGTACAGAATCCTGCTCCTCAGACAGCAGGGACAGAGAGATTTGAGAGCTCTGACTCTGCTAACTTCAAATATTGTCAAACTTCAGGAAACTCCTTTGATACACCTTGCTGCCCCAAGCAGTGCACTGAAAGCCTGAGAGTTTTGGGAACAAAAATAATGAAACTATATAATTTCCACCCTCAAACACAACAATATAAATACAATCATTTTGCATACAACCACTCAAGTTTTAGGATGTGAGAAGCACAGGTTACACTGGTTCCTAAAAAACTGTGACATCTGGACACCTACAGCCATTAATGACACTGAAGAAGTAGCCTGGGTCATACCTGTTGCAGTAATCAACTACAGACTCTCGGGTAGTAAAGAGAGCCTCCTCTCCTTTCTTTGCCTTTGCCCATTTAGAATCCAGGAGGCAATCCACAGCTTTTGAAGCTAGAGGGCAAAATTGAATTAAAAACACATTAAAATTAACATTACTTTTAACATTTACGCTACATTCCTTGAACCACAATGACCAGTCTGTTCTGGTGATGTTCCACATCCTTTCAATCTTTCAAGTAAGACTAGTCATTATTCTGGAATATATTCCTCTTGACTTCATACACCTTTAAATCTCAGAGTGAAAAGTTCATTGCATTTACTCCAGGCTAGTGAGATTAATTTTATGGCTTCCTAATACCTAGATAAGTTTTCAAAACCAAACTGTAAGACCAGTACTTAATAGATAAAGTACTATTAATAAAAATAAAATAGCCTCTCCCACCCTCCAAGTGCAATATTAGAAGAAACCTGAATTCTCTGGTTAAAAGCAACCCTACCAATAAAATAATCAACTCGGTGGCCCATCATGTTGGTGGATTTTGTTGGACAGTTGAAGCGCAAGTATTTAGCAACAGCCTTCTCCTCCTTGAATGGCTCACCAACTTCCTACAGTGGGAAAAGTCAAAAGTTATTAATACAGTTTTAAACACATAAGAAAATCACCCATTTGAGCTTAAAAAACCAGATATTGCAAAATCTTCATTATTTCATGGCAATATAAAAATAACAAAATATAAAGGATGTGAAAATAGGTCATTTTTCCTGAGAACCTTCTGTCTACATGAAGCAAAAGGCAGCAAATCTCAAGTTAGATGAACTGAAGGTAAGGAGTACACACTCATTTAACAGATCTGTAGAAAGTGCAAACTAAAGGACGGCCTAAGAGGAAAGCAGCACATGGGAAGCTGCTTAAGGCACACAGCTGGGATTGAAACAGTTGTGAAGCTGGGAACAAAGGGAAAACAGAGTGAGGAATCAGTGTGAATGAAATGACAGCAATGTAGGCACTCTGACAGAACACAGAGCAGCCCAGATTTCACATGAGAAGAAAACCATGTTGAAAAGAAGCTGAAAGATTTGGCTAGAAAATTTCTTTGCCCACTGCACAACTACAGAATGACACTTTAAAGTACCCTTGAGGAGATTCTCCCAGTCTGCAGAGTAGAACATCAGGATGAAAGCACAGCAGGATAAAATATAAACATCAAAACCAATGTTTTATGAGAAGGGAGCCCTCAGATGGCACACATTCACAAATTCTGTGCTTTTACCACCTCGCAGAGAGGTAACAGAACTCTGAGATGTGTAAGGCAGAAGGATGGAGATGGGCATTTTCAGTTATGTGAAATTAAGATCTAATATTTGCTAGCAGGGAAGGGAAGAACTTTCTAATGTTCTTGCTTCACAAAAACATATCTGCAAAAACCATAGGTTGGGATAATAAATTGATTTATGCTAACTTCCTCAAAATTCTTTCCTGTAAATTCTTTTAATCCATGAAGTTTAATTTTCCAACCCTCCCTGCTACTTGTGGATCAGTAACACAGAAACACTGGGACAGCTTTCCACACTGCAGTGCCATTTCTGTACCTGTACCTCACATGTTGCCTGAAGAAACATTATATAAACCACAGATCAGATTGGTCATTTACAGGAATAAAAGTTTCAGAGTCTATTTAAAGACCTAATTTTCCTAAAGGTCAATAAACATATACAACCTCCATTACTGCTTTTAAGATGTGCAATTGTAATATCACAAGCAGCATGTTAAATGGAAATGCAAGGTCAAATAGATGTGGTTACACCAGAATAAAAGTTTCAGATGGCAAGAAATGTTAATTTTCAACAGTTTGAACAGCTAACTTTCAAAACCAACTGGTTAATGAATATCCTTCTAGAGGAGATTGTTGCTTTTCCCACCTGAGGAGAATTCTGAAGAGAATAATATAGATACAAGGTATCCAAATGACCAAAAGGACTCCATCGTCGTTAGTTCTGAGGCTTTTTAAAAAAGTCTAAATCCTCCAAATGAAAAGCAAAAATATGCTCACTCACCAAGTAGTTTCCAAAACATGTGCCCATATTAGGCCAGATGATCCTAACAGTTCTCAAATGGATACTACTTCCTTCTGCATGTGCAATCCTTTTTTATTTTTAAATTTTAAAAATCTGTATTGAACATCAGATAAGAAACCTATTCCCTGACAGTGCATGTATGCACATAATATATGTGCTGTGGTTTCAGATTCTCTTACATGGTACAGTTGTACCAGTACCTGTAAATCTCAAACCAAACCACCAAACGTGGTACCAGAGTAGTTGAACAGCAACAAAAGGGGCTCCAATGCACTGAAATAGAACAAGTGACTGTGTTCCATCGTTGCCACATGGGATAAGGCACCAAGTGACTGGGGACTGCAAGCAGCAACTGTGTGTGAAACGCTGCTTTTCTAGGAATTCCTGTCAGCAAATGAAATTTGGAACAATTCACAGGGCAAATGTTCTTCACAGCACAGACAGTAAAACAGACAGAGAAACTGAAGATATTCACATCAGTGTAAATTCCTCTGCTAAGGTGTTTTTTCTCCTTTTTCCTAAAATATTTATGATCCTGCTGGGTCATGTGATGCACTACACAGGCAGGGGCTGGCACCAGGAGATTTTTTTTTATTGCTCCTTTCTATCAATTGCTTTGTCCATGAGGGATAGTTTCATAACAGCCCAAACAAAAAAACCTTCCCAGTGAGAGAGACTGCCACAGTTTAACTGAGCTCATTCTGAGAAAGTGTCCCCTGCAATTTAATGCCCATTTTTCATCTTATCTTCATCCCTTTGTTTGCAGAGCCAGGCTTCTGTTAAAAAATGAAAATAGATGACTGAGAGAAAGGAATATATTCATCAATAAATGAAATCAACCAAAGCAATGGCAAGTTCATTACCCTGGGCACAACTTTTAAAAGTTGCAGTTCAACCAAATTTTGTGTCCAGTTTTAAAAGTAGCCCATGCTGTCATTAGACAGCAAGTAAAATTTAGAGATTTAAAGTCACTGGTATCTTACAAACTCTGGCCATTAAAAATAAAATCAAACCAAATTTCTTACTTGTCTAGACAGAATAACTCCACCTACTGACAGGAAAAGCAGCGCTCAACGTAGTGACTTGCTAGAAATGCAATGACATTTTCGATTTTTAAGAATAATTCTCAATCACAATTCTGCCCTATATGAATTCAGAAAAGGACAATCTAACCCAGGGACCTTCCAGACTCACTCAAGTGAAGGGAAAGTCCTAATCAAATTTACCTTTATCTCCCAAATCAAAGTACAGCAAGTCCCTTCTGGACTTCAATGCATGGATGTAGCTCCCACTTAATTCAACCCCCAGCTGGGACTACAGCATCAGAGAGGCCTGAACACATCACAAATAACATCTGAACTGAGTCATTGAAACTTGTGTGCCCATGAGCTTCCTTCTCCCCCTCAGCTCTACCAAGCATGACTTATTCAGGTTTTCCAACTTCTGGAACACTCAGTGGATGACAGAAGGGCAGCACACATTTCTGATTTGAAAACTGCACTCAATTTATTCCTTCTTTGTGTCACAGTTGCAAGAAGACAGGTATGACCCAAGACAGGACAATTTCTTTCTACTACATAGTAGCATAAACAGGTTTTCTGGAAAATCAGAAGAGAGTAAATGATGAGTGTCACTAACAAGACAAGTTATTCCATGTGCAGCCAAACGCATTACAAGGATTTATGCTCCTCTGTTTCAAAGGGGACATCAAAATTCTTTTATTTCAATGAAACAAGAACCTAGCTGATTTTTTTGCACTTATTAGATTTTCAGAACACAATCCTTCAAAGCAGACTGCTGAAGCCTAATAGTTTATACAGCTTTCAGATAAGGAAAAGAAGAAATTAAAGCACATTTATCATATGGTGCCTGTTTTTCAAGCTGAGAGGCTACATCAAAAATGACACTGTCAGCCCAGGTTCCATTCCACCCACTCATTATAAAGACACTACAACTGCATTAGCCTACTCTTCTCTTCTCTGAAAGTGCTGGGCACATCACAACTTGGGCTGAACTGCAGGATTATCTTTTCCCCTTCCCTGTTGACTGTCAGGACCTCTGAGTGGATGTTCTGTGGCAGGGGACTAGGTGCTGCTGAGATATTTGTACTTTGCCTAAAATAAACCAGTGTGCCATGGATGAAGGAAAAGCACACAATTGGTATGACTGGAGTGGGTAGGGGGAAACAAACACACCAGGGTGTTAGGACTTGCTCTTATGACATCCCTGTTTTCTCCAGTGACTAACAAACAAACTTGCCTGACTCCTGCACTGATGACCAGTACAAGGACTGCTCCAGGTCTCTTAAAAGAAACTGTGGCAGAGCCATGTGGAGAAACCAGTTCTTCTGGATTACCCTGGCCACAAAACATTAACTTTTCTTTACAGAAAAAGATTAGCAGATGTTTTTCAGTCCACTACATATCCTGTGAAAACAGAAGTATCTGTTTTCTTCCTTCTTTCTTTTTTCAACCATTGCTAATTTTTTTGAGCAAAACATACAGAACTCTGTAAACATACAGACTTCTAAAACAGATCCAAGGAGCAATGTACAGTATTTTGAAGCCAAAACACGCCAGCTTCAGTCCCCTTCCAACCCCAGGCCAGCTGTTTTGACTTTTTCCCTTCCTACTTCCAATAATGTAACTCAGTATTTCCAAAAGACTGATCCTTGTTTTAATGACAACTCAGGCTGCTACTTTTAATTCCCATTTTTCCCTTTTTTTTGCCCCTTGATCTTTGTTTCCTCCTCCTCTATCAGCTGATACCACTAAGTGTTCAAAGACAAAATTTAACCATTCTCCTTTATTATCATCCCACTCATATTTACTAGAATTTATGAAAAAAATAAAGCCAAATGGGCAAGCCAGACTAAAAATATGCATTACTGGAAAATCATTGCATTGTCCTTTCTGCAGATCCTTTTCAGAGTCATTCACACAAAACTGCGGCACAGGAGCAGCGATGCAGCTGTTGCATTTTCCTTCCAGCAGGACCCAAATCATGACAGGACTCAACTGTAGGCTACAACAGTTAATGATTAGTAGATGTCCTTCATCAGGAGGATCCCAGAGCTTGAATCAAAGGAAAAAAGTCAACAAGGAAAGTACCTGTCATTAATGGCACTGATGCCACCTCAGCCATCAATCTGCAGTGAGACATTGACCTCCAAACTGCCCAGGAGCTATTTTCTTTCTTTTCAGGAGCAGTATTTATGTGCACTAACTTTTCTGGAGTGCAGGACATAGCAACAAGGTGCAATGGAAGCGCTGCTAATCCCAAAGCAAAGATCAACCCAAAACCTGACACGGGCAGACTAAAACTGTGCATGTGGAATGCAGCCAAGGTAATGAAAACTTAATGCCTATTTAACAGTCAAACTGCAGAGCTGCCAGCACGGTGCCACGTGTTACCCGGCCCAATGCCTGTCAAAGGAAACAGCACTGAACATTTTGTGGTTAAGTGAATATTTCAGGACACATATGGAAAAAAATATAGTTCCAAGACATAACTTTGATCAGGTTGCTGGAGTAACAGGAATTCAAAGGCATCTCTCATCTTTTGAGATGTATTTTGTCTAAAATAGAAAGATTAAACTAGCCATTAGACAACATACGTTGCTTTTCTGTCAGTAAGTCCTTTATACTCAGCAAGCATTCTTGATTTCAGACATTTGAATCACGTGGGAGCCACTGGGTAAGCAATCTGCATCCTACAGACCAGCCTCCCTTCACTACTGCATGTCTGAATTAATCTCCGTGTTGATTACAGTTAAATTACCACCAGGAATGACACTTAGAGAATTCTGCCTCTGAAATATCTTTGTTCAAGCTTCTGAAGTTAAAATTTTTGCAACTTTTGTAACTTTCAGAGGAAGAGTCTAAGCTATGCAACACACATTGGGCAATGTGTCTTTTGATGAAAGTGCATTCCATAAAACACATCCTTCCTGTGACTGCTTCCGATGGGAAACACGGAGCAGGCTAGACAGAACTTTGAACTATTTCTGATCCTTTTTTCATGTTTAGCTATCTGACCTAACTACCAGAATTCTAATCTTGATGACAGGCATAAAATCCTGAAAAAATTCTTTCCAAACACTCGTTCTGTGCCCATGGTTTTTCTAACTGAACTCCATTACCTCAGCCTCTTCCACAGCTAAATACACCAACCTCTCCCAAAAACCTCACTCCTGTCAAGAAATACAGCTCTGTTTAATGACAGCACGGTATTCAGATATCAGACTTGCATGCAGTACAATAACTAATCTCTTCAGACATCACCTTGAATTTAGACACACTGCTGAAACACTTGAAGCACCTGCGAATAAAAATCCCACACTTCATTTTAAAAGAAGACACTTGCAGCATTAGCCTGAAAAATGTGATAATCATACTGCAAATATGTCAGTAAAGTTCAAAAAGCTTAAGAAGAACAAAACACAAAACCAACAACCAAGAAAAATATGAGTTGCTTTATTCACTGACCAATTAAGAACACCCCTTGGGCATTCACCAGTATTCTTTGTTCACTGTCTTGTCTTCCTGTTGTTGTTGACCTACACTGGGAACCTATGAAGATACACGTTTATTTGCATAATTATATCACAGATTTAGGCCATGACCTTAAGTATTAAAACCCAGACATCGATTTAATTACTAACAATCTGGGAAATACTTTTACTGCTAACAGGGTGGAAAGTAAGTATGTGCTTAACTGCCTGCAAGACCACAGCCTCGAGTGTTATACAAACATTAAATTACATTTAAATTTGGTTTGACGGGTGCTTTATTGAGCTGTTGTCATCCTTGAAAAGGGACAACCTATAAAAATCTTAGAATAATTCTGTGATGCTTTGCAATAACTCATTGAATGCTGTGATGGATAGGGCTCGTTCAACAAGATTTTAATGTATTACTCCTTGCATTTCTCCTCCTGCTAATTTGAATTAAAGGTAAAAAAGGAACCTTTACAGGTACGGGCAGATCTCCATCTTCCCGGGGGAAGGGAAAGTGGGCTGGGAAAGGGAAGGATGAGAAAGGAGAGAGGGCAGCCAAGCAGAAGGGTGACATATGAAGCGTGCATTGTTGAACGGCTCTGTGATCTCTCCCGTGAATATTATCTGCTCTTACAGCAAAGCAATAAGCCCCAAACAAATACTATTTAGGCGGAGTGTTGATAACACATAACAGTAACGAGCGTTATGGTCCCTGATACTGTAAGTACGCCCAAAACATGCGTTAAAAACTCTGTAAAACTCCCTGTAAAAATTACATCTCGACATACCAGGCTCCCGAAGCAGCCCTCAGTTTGCCTCTCAGTGCCACCACACAATTATCACTACATTTTAACACGATCTCAAAGCTGATTAGGTCTATTTATAGGCGCGCCTGTTTGTTTATGTTTTCCAGAGACAAATTTCCTTTTCTTCCCGCATCATTTCCTGGTTGGGGCACGTTTGCTTTTAAGATGCTTTTACCATCTGTCCCACGTCTTCTGCTCCCGATCCCTGGGCCGGACACGCCGGGTGAAGGTGCAGCTCCCGGGTGTTTTGGTGTTACCCGCACTAAGCTATTGTTCGACACTGATAACGGGGAAGATTCTGAGTATACAACGGCGATTAGAAACAGGGAATAGCTCAAAATGACATTTTGGTCACGGAGAGACGAAGAACTTCTGAGGGCGCAGAGCCCATGGGGATGAAGCGGGGGCGCCTCTGATGTGCCGGGGGGCCCCGCCGGCCGCCCTCAGCCCCGAAACGCTCCCACTTAGCTCCCCCGCTCTGTTTTCACAGCATTTACCAATTTGTTAGAAAATCCTGAGGAGAACCTGCCAGCCCGGGCTCCGGCCCCGGCCTGAGGGGCTCCCGGTGCCCCGAGACTGGGGCGCTCTCCTCCCTCACCGCGGGCCGCCCGCAGCCGCCGCCTCGCAACAGCGTCGGGTGGGAAGGCCGCAGGGGAAGCCGCTCTAAGCTCGGAGATGAGGAGCCACCGGGCGGGGAGGGAGAGATAGAGAAGAGGGGGAGTCTCGGGT